GAGATTTCAAGAGTAGAGACGCTTCAAGAACAGGACGAAATTCCATGGGCTCCCTCGACGTCTCCGGCGGCCGGAACATGGACTGGAGTTGGTTCATTTTGTAGACGGGTCGGGTCTGTGGAACGAAGGGAAAATGTGGATTTTGGTAGAAGAAGAGTAGAGCTTGGGGTGTAGTGTGGCTGGGGAGAAGGGTGGATGATTTATAGATCAAAGAGTTGGAGAGATAGAATGTGCAGCCACAAAAGTCTTGTGTGTGCAGAGAGCGAGAGACAATAATCCTAGGCTGCTAGGCTGAGAGGAAGAAGAAAGCAATATAATGAAAAGACACATTTGCCCCTTACATTGACGGCCAATAAATGGTTTGCTAACAGAAGGACCTTTGGTGGAACAAATTAAAAAGTCAAGTGTTTTTTTCGTCTAAATTAAAAGTCGATGACTAATTTTGGAAAATCGGAATAGTCGGAGGTTTTGTTACTATGCCTCGCAAAAGTCGATGACCAATTTTGGTTAATGCTAGTCAATAACCAACTAGCATTAGCACCAGCAATATACACTTAAAGGTTTTGTTACTATGCCTCACATGAAAACCAACCACACTAGCATAATGCTTATAAATTTGAATACCCTTATCCAATATACTCTAACTAGTGCAGAAACAACGATCACAACAATCACTTACACACTTTCTCATTACCCCATAACAAATCCCTAAGCCCTAAGCCCTAAACACATATCGCTAACCTTTAATCAAGCACAAACCAAGAAAAAAAAATGAAGATACTTAACTATTCATGATCTTATTCCTCCTAAATTGCGTCCTAGCCTTTTACTCTCCAAAATCCCATATACTAAATGATACCAATCAGAATCAGGATGTGAATCCAAGGCCACAAGCTCCCCATGTTCCACATCATCTAACCCCACCCCCACGCCCACCAAGTTGGACACGCTTTCAACTAGTATAGTTTTAGCCACATGGCTACTGCCAAGAGGCAAAGTGTAATCCAATGAAAGTGGCAAAATGGTTCACAATTCACGGACTTTGGCCGCATGACAAATCATGGCATAGCACAACATTCCCTCTAGGGGGGAATTCAATAATTCAGTAATTAATGCTCAACTAAGGAATCAATTGAGGCAAAATTGGCCGGCTTTGTGGGGGGAAAAAAATGATAAAACCTTCTGGTCCTATGAGTGGCTAATACATGGAGTCATCTCAAAGTCACTCCTAAATCAGAATATATGCCGACTTCTGGAGGACAGTCGCACTACACAAGGCTCATGTCCTAAGAAATATTCTAGCAGCTCGTAAGGTGATCCCTGACCCAGCCCCTCAATCGGCTATCCACTTTAGGAATACACTTACAACCGGACTATGTAATAATATCGTGCTTAGATGCAAATAGAATTATCTTACTGAGGTAAGAATTTTTCACAACCAAGCAAGGAACAATGTGGTGGCCTGTAATACGAAGGTCGAATCATGTAGTGGTGACATTATTTACATTGCATGCACGAGAAACCAAACATGTAACGATTGTATTCATTCAAACACGCAATCGTCAACACATAAATGCACAATAGTATTACTAAATATGAACAATGATATTCATCCAATACGTTGCATTAAAACAAACAATATTACCAAACAACAAGAAATTCCTTCGTACTATAAGATCAACCTAAAAAATCTAACACAATTGGTCATGCTTGCCAACATTGTATTTAGAGAAGAAAGCTAAACAAACCTCTTGCTTCTAAAAAAGTTTGTCAATAACCAACTAGGCGTTAGCACCAGCAATATACACTTAAAGGTCTTGTTACTATGTCTCACATGAAAACCAACCACACTAGCATAATTCTTATAAATTTGAATACTTTATCCAATATACTCTAACTAGTGCAGAAACAACGAGCAGTCACTTACACACTCCATTACCCCATAACTATTCCCTAAGCCTTGAGCCCTAAACACATATCCCTAACCACTGAGCACAAACCAAGAAAAACAAAGCAAAACAAAAATGATGATATTTTTAGAACTATTCATGATCTTATTCCTCGTAAATGGCACTCTAGCCTTTTCCTCTCCAAAACCACATATACTAAATGATACCACTCAGAATTAGGATGTGATTCCAAGGCCACAAGCTCCCCATGTTCCACGTCGTCCAACCCCACCCCCACACCTACCTAGTTGGACAGGCTTTCAACTAGTATTGTTTTGGCCACATGGCTACTGCTAAGAGGCAAAGTGTAATCCAAACAAAGTGGTAAAAGTATTCACAATTCACGGACTTTGGCCACACGAAAAATCATGGCATAGCCCAACATCCCCTCCAAGGGCGAATTCGATAATTCAATAATTTATGCTCAACTAAAGAAGTAATTGAGGCAGTAACTTTCCGGAAAAAGGCACGTCTCGGCTCGACGCGTCGAGCGGCATAAGTGGCAGCTTCAAAAAGTCCTTCGAAAGTTTCCTATTTCGTCCCCAGCTTGGTTCCCGTTATAAAATCTCGCATTCCTCAACTCTAGAAGCCCCTTATCCTGATTTTGGAGACAAGAAAGAAGAGAATTGAGAGCTACAAGTTGTCTTTGGAAGCAAGAAAAAAGGTTAGGGAGATTTGGGAAAATCACTTGGTTTATTCTTCTACTTACTTTGATTATTTGTAAACTATTTATTATTACTATGTATTGCATATTAGCTATGTGTGGCTAATTTACTTTAGAGATTCTTGGGTAAAAGTATTTATAAACCTTTGTGCCTAGTTCTCATAATCTATAATATATTATTATTTGGGTTTTATACTTGTGTTGTAATTTTGACTATATTGTTGTTGCTAGTAGTTTAGGACCCGAATTACTTATTTCATAGCTTTATTTATGTCATAACGGGAGTTAGGTATATTTTGGGGTACTCTCAATTGCACTTAATTATTGCACCTTGGGAGATCAGAGGGCATATTTGTGAAGGAGTTGAATTCTTGGTTATTGCACATCGGGAGATGGTAGTAGTTAGGAATTTATTATGAATGTTTATTCTTATATTGTTGAGTGTTTATACTTTATATATCACGGGAGTAAATAGTCACTTGTTTTAGGTTAGAGATTATGGGAGTAACTCTTTCCCTTGTTGCATTCTCACACTTGTTTAAACCCAGATTTAATATTGTTCATAAAATTGGCACTAGGTGATTAAATACTTGAATCCTAGAAATCTCATTCTCTCTCTATTGTTTTCACAAACCTGCTTCTTTGCTTTCTTTTAATTATTTTAATCAACCATCCATGATAATCGTTAAGATTAGCTTCACAAGAATATATTAGTAGCTAGTGCTTGATACGCACCACTTTCCAGTGGATCGATAACTCGTTACTCTGAGTAATTATTTGTTTGAGAATTATATTGCAATCAAACAGTAAATTACTACTGTACAAGCTAAGAGAATATATACAAAAGGAATCATATGAAGATTAGGATGGGTAGTCATAATGTGACTCAAATACATAGAATCCTAATAATAACAACCAACATACTAGAACACATGTTCATAAAATATTCTGGTCAAATACAATTTTCTTATACTTCATAAATAATAAAAAGCCAATAAATATTTGTACTTAAGGGTGTATTCAATAAAGACTTTCAAAGTGAGATTTTAAATGACTTTTGTAGAATTTTTTAGACTTTTTTATAATATTTTAAAATTTTATCAACTTTGTACGAGTCTATAAAAATTCGTAAGACAAACATATATAGGCTTTAAAAAACTTTTTCATATTAAAAACTCTACAAAATTCATTAAAACTCTCAATTTAATACACCCTTACATACATTCCATAAATTTTACTAATACATTATTTATAATTTTCTTACAAAAATATATTTTTATAAATCATAAATGAATGAATGCATTGCAAAAAATAAATAAATAAATAAATAAATATTGATTGTCACAAAAATAGAGTATATCCTCTTCTCCCCAGTTAACTTGCTTAAACCTCCACTACTATCACTCTATCCATTTTTTATCGCATCAACTATAAGTTGTAACAACTCAGTACTCTCCTCAGGTGCTCACAATGCATAATTTCCATTAACTTTATTTTTACCTTTACTCCTCGATCTTTTGATGTACATCTCCCATTTATAATTACTATAAAATAAATAAGAATCTCTCAAAAAATTCAACTTAACACAAATACATATATTAATAATTTATATAAAAATTTGAGTTAAAATTTAGGTATGTCAATTTTGCTGCAACGAACAGCAGCGTGCTGTTGGTCGCAGCAGAAGATTTATGTTGTTCACAGCAATGCAAAAATCTGCTACGAACATCAGCAGGCTACTATTGTTCACTGAAGATTTTTTTGTTGCGAACAACAACGAAAATTTTTTCCGAACAATAACATGAAATTCTTGCTGCTATTCGTAGCAAAAAATTTTGCTGTGAACAACCATAAATAATAATTTTGTTATAATTTTTTTAAAGTATGTATGAAAATTAAGAGATAAAATTAAAAAGTATAGGAGTATTTATGAAAGGTTTGAAAAATCGATGAAAAGTTTGTCGTGTTTAGATATAGGAAAAAAGTTTGTAGAGAAATTTGAAAAGTTTAGGATTGGAGGGTTGGATTTCATCTATTTATATTAATGAAGAAAAAGTCTATAGAAATCTTATTCTGATAGAGTCTATGAAAGTTAATAAATTTTTGAATACCAGTAGACTTTTAAAGACTTATAAAAGTCTGAATCTATTAACAGATACAAGTGGCAAGTCAAAAGGAAAAGAAGACCAAGAAGTCAATAACTAACTCCAACTACCTTTCCCTCCCTTTTATTCCTTCTTCTTTCCTTTTCTCCTCTAAGTATATAGATGGCAGTAGTAATGCAAGTGTAATCTGATATTCTTTCAACTATTTGAATACAAGAACAGTTTCTTTCTTCTTCATTAAAGCTCTCCATACTTGTTAATATGGTATCAGAGCCCTGAAATATGGCTTGGAGACCACCTGCTGCAAACATGACTGGTTCGTCCTCAACCGCTGCTGCAAATCCAATTCCGACAACCGCCGCAGCTCCGACTCCGGCGATCTTTGATCCGAATGATCGAGTGAATCCTTTCAGCCTTCATCCCAATGAGAGCCCGTCCCTGCGGCTGGTAACCGTACATCTGGAAGGGAGATCGAACTACCATGCCTGGGCTAGGGCAATGGAGATGGCCTTGAAATCGAAAAACAAGCTTGCTTTAGTGAACGGATCAATGGTGATCCCTAATCAGAATGATCCCAAACACTTCTATTGGGATCAATGCAATACCATGGTTCTCTCATGGATTCTGAGGGTCGTTTCTCCCACCATTGCTCGAAGTGTTCTATGGATTAACACTGTAGAAGGAGTATGGAAGAACCTCAAGAAACGGTTCAGTCAACAGGATATCTTCAGAGTAGCAGAGATCCAAGCTGAGATTCACCAAACGAAGCAAGGTAACACTTCTGTGAATGAGTATTTTACTCAGTTAAAGCTGCTATGGGATGAGTTGGCTGTGTTAAGACCAATTCCCTCTTGTGATTGCATTCCCAGTTGTAAATGTGGAGCTGATCTGTCTGAAAAAATTAGAACTCATATTGAGAGTGATATGTTAACTGCTTTTTTGATTGGGTTGAATGAGAACTTTGCTTACACCAAGAGGCAAATTATGTTGATGAAGCCTCTCCCTGATGTTGGAGAAGCCTTTGCAATGGTCTCTCAGCAAGAAAGGCAAATAGATGCCATACCAAACATCTTGACAGAAAACATAACTGGAGCAAATGCTTTCTTAGCAAATTCTGGCAACAACAGAAAATTTTATCCAAATCAGAAGCCAAAACCTGTGTGTTGCTATTGTGGATACACAGGGCACACAATTGATAAGTGCTATAAGAAACATGGCTACCCACCTGGATGGAAGCCAAGAAGCAAAGGAATGGGTTCTGTCAATCAAGTCCAGTCCTCTTCACAAGAGTCATTGGAAACTGGCCCTGAGATTTCTGGCCCTGGGATTTCTACTGTGACTGAGGATGACTATAGGAGGTTTTTGGACTTCATGCAGCAACAACAAAGAATTAGGAGTAATCAGGCCACTCATCTTACCATCAACCCTCATATCAATACCATATCAGCTAATTTCATACCTGATGCAAGTGTAGAAGGTAAGAAAGTCAGTTCTGATTTGGTTAATTCTAAGCCTTTATGGATTCTTGACAGTGGTGCCACACACCACATTGTGTGCAATGAATACATGCTCCAAACATCCAAGAGAGTGCATGGTATATTTGTAGATTTGCCTAATGGACACCAAGCTCAGGTGTCTCATATTGGAAACATCCAATTATCAGCTGAATTAACCCTACAGAATGTCCTATGTGTGCCAATTTTTCAGTACAACCTGATCTCCTTGGGAGAACTCACAAGAAAATTAAATTGCAGCATATTGTTCCACTCTAATCACTGTGTTATATAGGACCAGCACCTTGGGAAGATGATTGGCATGGCTGAGCTAAGGAAAGGACTCTACCAATTGATTTTTCCTGTTTTTAATAGCTGTAAACATGCTGCTAATGCTTGTAGTTTTTGGCATGCTAGACTAGGCCATGCTTTAGAAGACAAAATAAGGTGCTTCATACCTTAGACAGTAAAATCTGTAATGATAAGCCTAGTGCATGTGATTGTTGTCACCTAGCTAAACAAAGAAGGCTTCCTTTTAATTCTAGTTCCACTCTTTCAATTGATTGCTTTGATCTTATACATATTGATGTCTGGGGACCATACCATGTGCCAACAGTCTATGGTCATCAATATTTCTTGACATTGGTGGATGATCACAGTAGAGCCACCTGGATATATCTCATGAGGAACAAGAGTGAGGTTAAGCAACATATGCTGACATTCTATGAGCTAATCAAAACACAATTTGGGAAAGCCATTAAATGTGTAAGGTCTGACAATGGAAAGGAATTCTCAATGGCAGACTTTTATCAGCAGAGGGGTATCATCCACCAAACATCTTGTGTGTATACTCCCCAACAAAACAGTATTGTGGAAAGGAAGCATGGTCATATCTTGTCCATAACAAGAGCCTTAAGGTTTCAAGCCAATCTGCCTGAAGAATTTTGGGGGGACTGCATCCTTCATGCAGTCTATCTGATGAATAGACTACCAACTTCAGCATTGAATAATCAAATACCCTATCAAATCCTTTTCAATAAGGTACCACAATATCAACACCTTAGAGTGTTTGAATGCCTATCCTTTGCTATTATTCCTATCTGCCAAAGAAACAAGTTCTCCCCAAGGGCAAGGAAATGCATTTTCATAGGGTTTGCAAATGGAGTCAAAGGATATAAGTTATTTGATATCAAGACAAAAGAGGTCTTCATTTTCAGAGATGTCCACTTCTATGAAGACATGTTTCCCTTCAAGCAGCCACAAGAGCCAAACTCTGACAGCTCAGTACTGCCACTCTGAAAATATGCCATATATGGATAATGAAGGGCACACTCCTCAAGTTATTCATGAACAAGTCCCACCTATGGTTCAATCCATGGAACCAGGACAAATAGATGCAGCTATAGACACTGGAACAGTTACAGAAGATGCACCTTTAAGAAGGTCAACCAGAAGGAAGATAACACCAGGTATCTGGATGCTTATAACTGCCAGAATGTTACTGCTAAAAGGACATCCCCATATGACATTTCAAAATTCTTATCTTATGAGAGTCTATCTGTTGATTACAGAGCTTTTGCAGTAAATGTTTTAGATGCAAAGGAGTCAAAAACCTACAATGAAGCTATCAAGAAGGAGTGTTGGAGACAAGCTATGGAGGCTGAGTTCAAAGCCTTGAAAGCTAATAATATAGGGATCATCACAGATCTTCCCCCCAACAAAGAGGCAATAGGATGCAAATGGGTTTATAAAACCAAACTTAAAGCTGATAGGATAATTGAGAGACACAAGGCTAGACTTGTAGGAAAAGGTTACACTCAGACACCTGGACTTGACTATTTGGACACCTTTAGTCCAGTTGCTAAGATCACAACAGTCAGGATGTTGCTTGCTGTTTCAGCCATCAAAGGATGGGGTTTACACCAATTGGATGTAAACAATGTCTTCCTACATGGAGAACTAAATGAAGAAGTTTACATGAGATTACCTCCTGGAATTACTTCAGACAAACCAGGCCAAGTTTGCAAGTTAGTGACGTCCCTATATGGCCTCAAACAAGCAAGTACACAGTGGAATATCAAGCTTTCTCATGAACTGTTGAACATGGGTTTCCAACAAGCAGTTTCTGATTCCTCCTTATTCACCAGATGTAGAGATGATGATTTTGTGGCTCTACTTGTCTATGTGGATGATGTGGTCATTGCCAGTCCTAACCTAGGTCAAGTGAATCAGATCAAGAAGCATCTAAATGACATTTTTCATATTAAGGATCTAGGCCCCTTAAGGTTTTTTCTGGGCTTAGAAGTTGCTAGAAGCTGCAAAGGAATTTCAATGAATCAGAGGAAATACACCATGGAATTACTTGAAGAAATAGATTTTTAACACTATAAGCCTGATGCTACACCCATGGTTACATCTATCAAATTCAGTAAAACTAGTGGGAACATTATTCAGGATGCTACCCAATACAGAAGACTAATAGGAAAACTCCTATATCTCACAATCACTAGGCCTGACATAAGCTATGCTACTCAACAATTGTCTCAGTTCCTAGACTGCCCTACTGACATACATATGCAGGCTGCACACAGGGTGTTGAGATACTTAAAGGCAGCTCCCAGCCAAGGTCTTTTCTTCTCAGCAAAATCTTCATTGCAGCTTAAAGCCTTTAGTGATTCTGATTGGGCAGCATGTCCAGACACAAGAAGATCCATCACAGGGTTCTGCACCTTCCTTGGTAACTCCTTGGTATCCTGGAAATCAAAGAAACAAGTCACCATTTCAAGAAGCTCCTCTGAAGCTGAATATAGGGCCCTTGCCACAGCTGCTTGTGAAGTTCAATGGCTCATCTACCTGCTAAAAGATATGGGAATAAATGAGAATCTTACAGCTATGATGTATTGTGATAGCAAATCAGCAATTGCAATTGCGGAAAACCCTGTGTTTCGTGAAAGAACCAAACATATTGAGATTGACTGCCACCTAATAAGGGAAAAGCTGCAAAAGGGAGTGTTGAAATTACTCCATGTTACTACCACCAACCAGCTTGCTGGTGTGTTTACAAAACCTCATACAGCAGCAACCTTCTACAACTTTACTGCAGCTTGTAGGGGGATATTAACAGATACAAGTGGCAAGTCAAAAGGAAAAGAAAACCAAGAAGTCAATAACTAACTCCAACTACCTTTCCCTCCCTTTTATTCCTTCTTCTTTCCTTTTCTCCTCTAAGTATATAGATGGCAGTAGTAATGCAAGTGTAATCTGATATTCTTTCAACTATTTGAATACAAGAACAGTTTCTTTCTTCTTCATTAAAGCTCTCCATACTTGTTAATAGAATCAAATACCAGTATATATATATATATATATATATATATATATATATATATATATATATATATATATATATATACACACACACACACACACATACACTTTTAAAGGCTTTTGAAAAGTGTGAATCGATTACCGATTGACTTTTAAAGAGTTTTTAAAAATCTAAATTGAATATCATTAAAATTTTAAATTAGTTAGAAGTCTTTGAAAGTCTTTAAAAGCCTTGATTGGATACACCCCTTACTATTGAAGAGAAATACAATTTTTTAAAAATGAAGTAAAAAATAAATTACGAAACTAATTTAGAGAAGTTCACATTACTACATTAGTTAAAGAAATCTCACATTTTCATAAATTAAACGAGCACATAACACTATATTAAATAACTACTTTTTCACGCGTATTGGGCGAATAGATAATGTCTTATATTTATTTTTAAATAAATACTTCAAAATATATCAATGCAAAATTATATAGGAGATATTCATGCATATGTAATTGAATTTTGAATTTGTTTATTTAAATTGGTAATTCAAAATATATAAATGCAAGATAGTATAGGAGAGATTGGTTATAATTGTCATTAAAATATATGTTTGCAATTTTGTAAAAACGCTAGTCTAAATAAATACTACTTTTAATTTGAATTTCTCTAAATCCTCGTAATTCACTTTTATGTAATATTATCATTGTCTTCATCTTCAATACATGTCATCTTCATTTTTATTGGTAGTGTGTCGTGTGTAATTGGATTAATATAATGGTGGTAGCATAAAGGGCAACGCCATGCAATGAGATTATGGTGTTGGAAGTTGTGGATTTGCCTTGATGTGTATCTTAGTGTTATTATTAGTCTGAGTATGGTACGAGCTTAAAGATACCTCCTATATTAGCAAATTATACTGTGGACCGCGGTCCACAATGCATTGTGGTCCATGCATCAATTCATCAAATATACACTGTATTTTCATTTCAACACAATTACAGTATCATTTTGATATAACTACAGTTTCGCTGGACAATATACACTCAAATATGTGAAATTGTTATTCAGTTTCATTTTATATACACTGCAGTTTCATTTCAACACAACTACAATTTCATTTCAATTCAATTGCAGTTTCATTTGATAATATAAGTTTTGGATCTCAAAAAATAAAAATGAGACAGTGTTAGTTTAGATACACTATAGTGTCTGCAGTTTTGGACCATGGTCCACAAAGCTTTGTGAACCGCGGTCCACAATATAATTGTTGTCCTATATTTAGGGTCTGCTCAAAACACCTAGTGGTCTAAACAACAATAACAACAACAACAACAACAACAACAATAATAATAATAATAATAATAATAATGTAAAATTCTCCCATCACAAAATTTGAATCAAATACACCCTAAAAATAATTATGCCATATTTAAATATTTTTACACCGAACTTTGTCCATATGAAATAGTATGATTTGATTAACTTGTAATAGAGTCAGTGTAATTTGTACTGATGCTTATTAGAATGCATATCATATAAACAAAGATTCAATATGGAAAATAATATTTTTCCTTAATTTACAGAAAATTAAAGACCACAACCATTACTTGAAGATACGCGCAGAATAAGCTCACTTCAATATCCTAGCTAACAAAGAACCACGTATAAAATAAATCATCGCAAGTTGTACATAGCTAACCAACTCAAACTAAGAAGACCAATAGACAACTCTCACAGAGAATCAAACTTAAAACAGTATGATTAATAAGCCAATGTCCGATCAATTCAATTGGAGTTGTTCCAAATAATATTTTTTTTCTTGACTTATCTTACAATAAATTAATTAAAAATGAAAAAGTTTAATATAAAAAAGAATGATGATAAACTCATAAAGGCCTTGTTTGGTAAGCTAGTTGATTGGGCAAAACGGTATAACTAGTTGATAACATTAGCTGATTGTAGAAGGTAATTTATATCGTGTATTACGGCGCACATAGCAATGTGCGCCCAGACACAAAACGCGCGCGTTTCAATTGCTGACGTCACTCCGTCCGTCCAAACGGCCCAAACCCCATTATGTGTATTCAGTTAAAAGTTTCTATGTATTCAGTTAAAAGTTTCTGTGTATTGTGTTATGAGTTTCTATGTATTCAATAAAGAGTTTCTATGTATTCAGTTAAGAGTTTGTGTATTCAGTTAAGAGTTTCTGTGTATTCAGTTAAGAGTTCCTGTGTATTTAGTTAAGAGTTTCTATGTATTCAGTAAGAGTTTCTGTGCATTAAGTTAAGAGTTTATGTGTATTCAGTTATGAGTTTATGTGTATTAGAAACAGAGGATTGTTTTTGGACAATGCACCAAAACGACGTCGTTTTGGGTAGGGAGGCATTGTGCGCCCTGGTGCACGATATAATGACTTATTGTAGAAAGGGGTTTGGTAAATTAGCTGATAGCTGATAGCTATTTGGTATACTTTATTTTCTCAAAAAGTTAATTGAAAAAATTATTTTGAGCATTTTTTGAATTTTAGCATTTTGAAGTTACAAAAAGCTTATTAACCAAACATTTATATAATTTTTTAATCAAGTTAAATCGCTAATAATGGTTAAATAAATAAAAATTAACTGACAGACTAATTATTTTTACCAAATTGGGCCAAAATGTATTTTGATCCAAGGAAATATAGCCATATAGGCTTTAAAAATATTTCCATTTTGTAATATAATAAGATATTCTATGTTGACTCAAATCCAACTAAGATTAGTTCTCTCCTCACACTTCTCTCTATCTCTCTGCCCACGTGGTGGGCCATCTCAGCAAACCAAAAACTGCAGAATTACCATGGGCTGTAATTTAATAATATTTCGAGTACTAGGTGGTGGGTCCTTTCACCAAATTAAGATACTACATTCTACAATTCTCAATGATGATCTCACTCACCATGCCAGCACAACAACAATTTCTTATCCACCCCCTCTTT